TTTTCAAGTTCTACAGTTATCATTAAGTGTTCACACTGTACATATGTAAGCAAATTATGACAAAACTACATAATACAAAACTATATAATACACCTCGCCTTTCCCTGTTCGAAACAGAAAACCCTGAATATCATACGCTATCAAGGCAGATGCATCTCTGAAATGAGATGTGCACGTGTTAAGCACGTAATTGATCTCAGTGTTATGTTAGAGTGTGTTTCCATGGCTGACGCAGGTGCAGTCGTATTTACCAACACGTAAAAACATTTTCTAACTTATCCACACGTATATGAACGCATCCTTCAGAGATGTTTGAAGCTGGTTGGATTTTATACGCAAGTAATCGATTAAGCTATTCAAGACGATGTCAATTGTCATGAGTTCAATTAACAATTCTTCAAACTTTTCGGTTCGGCTAAACTTCAGAATACCCGGCCACTTATTTACATGTCATTAAATAAGAATAGCGTCTATCACGGTGTTATGCCTCATTCTTCAAAGCCTCCCGACACATGTAAATGATGTGGACGGTTATTCTGAAGTTGCTCCTTCGGTTCAATTCGTTTCGAAGACCCATCACTTCGCCGCTGGTAACAAAAAAGAAAAAAGAAAAAAGAATAACAGATCTCCTCGTTCGAGCTGACGATATATACATAGATATGTATATCTTATAGACGTTTTGTTGTGTAGTACCGCTGAGTATTTTTAACCAGTTGTGCCGTATTTCGGACGAGCCCTAGGGTGAGTCAAAATACAAACAACAAGTAAAAATACTCGGCGATCGTAGACCATACTACACAACAAAACGTCTAATAAGAGATTTATCATCCAACGCGGCAAATTGCTATTTCGGTGCGGGCGAATTTCGCGGATATTTCTGGAGTACAAATATCGCGTGATATTTGTACTCCACGAAGCACAGTTGGATAAGAAGTTCTTGTATCAATTCCTCGTTCAATAAACTGATACACGTTTACGCAGTATATGTAAATTTAGAGAATCATGAGTAAGATTTGCCCAAGCACCTTTCCTTCCCTTCAACCCCTCCCCGATGGGTTTTTTAATTGAGGATATTCCTCTTATCCAGACTCCTCGCAAAGTGAGCCTTGTAAAGATTGGGGCGGGAGACTATGAGCTCTCGAGAAGATGCACTTGAGCTGTACAGAGGTGTAAGGAGGGCAGAAATTGACTAAATGACACTGCATTAGCATTGTACAACCGAAAAGATGTTTCCTTCTCATATGTCTGTGAACGATCTGGGTATATTTGCAGTGGTGATGGTCTTTGGTTTGTTGATTGTCCTTTTGTTCATGTTTGACCTCGTAAGTATGACAAGTTTTCGTCGCTTATGTTGGACAGCGCGCGTGGAATTATTTATTTCCTTAATTCTCACAATTACACGATTTCCCCCTATAACATTTCTTTTCTGTTGTAAGGGCTGTGCCTGCAAATTAGTGTCTACTTGTGAGGAGAATTTAATTATCATCTCTTGTATATGAATTCCAAAGCCATCCGTCGATCAGTGTTCACAGCTATCACGTGTTAAGGGGTATGTATCAAAATTTTGGAATGCTCGTACAAATTTGACGTTTGCTCGATTTGCAGTTACTAAGACTTTACTTCATCATGCATACAGTTTTCGAATAAAGAAAACAATGGAGAAAACAGTGGATTACATTGCCTTTGGGACTACGGCTTTCATTTGTTTTAGGATCGCATAATTGAATAAAATCTCGCTATCTGATTGGTTAACAAAGAGAGGTATTTTGCGTGGAGTTGGGAGTTAAAAACAAGGAAGCGTAGAAATCCTGCCCTGGACTGGGGATATAAAGAAACATTGTCCTTTTTATCTGAATTATGATAAGAAGTTGGAATTTTCTTATCTTTCCTGATTGTTAAGGGTAAGTGAAGAATTTGGAAAGCAGAAATTATGCACCACTCACATGAATAGCACTTCTTAGGAAAACCAGTTATTTCAAATAACAGGGCACTGATTTTTCAGTCTTTTAAGCAGAGGAAACCTGTCTGTCCCATTGAGAGTGGAGTAATACATATATCTTATTAATCAAGCACGAGGGCCGTACTGGGAGAATATCGGCCCAAGGTCTTGATAAAAGACCAAGGGCCGATATTCTTCCAGTACAGTCCCGAGCAAGCTTTGCCAGTTAGTAAGAGATTTATTACACGACTGAAGTTCAAAGGGACACAAGTGTGGTATCATTGGGGACCATTCGGGAAAGTGCCCAGCCGGTCCAATACTGAGAGAATATTGACCGGCAATAGAGCATTTTGATTGGTTGATTTTAGTTATTGGCCCTCTGACTTCCCGAGTTGTGTAATAAATATTCATATTCATATCCAGAGGTAGCAAAGTGGGNTCAGCAGTTTTTCAGCCGGAACATTTTACGCAAGGGCTAGATTAGCCCCTGAAGACCTGTCTTACAGTATTTTTGTTGTCTTTGGGAATTAATTCCTCTTTATGAAAATATTTCCCATTTTTCATTACAGAGGGGTTCATCAAAAGGCCTATCAATTCCAGGAGAGGAACCGTCAGACCTAGAGTAAGTAATTTGATTAGTACTCACATTTCTGTGCAAGACTTTTCTCCTCCCAGGGATCAGGATGGGTGAGTAAATAACTGGAACATGCCTGCATGGAGACATGCAAAGGATTTAACACAATGATATGGGATGCCAACCCAGTCAATATTCCCTCTGTATTTCTGTGACCCAGTTTACTTTTAACATGGTCAACTTGACTTTTTATATGGCCAACTCGACTTTTTATATGGTCAACTTGACTTTTTACATGCTCAACTTTTGACTTTTTGTATGGCCAACTCGACTTTTTATATAGTCAACTTGACTTTTTACATGCTCAACTTTTGACTTTTTGTATGGTCAACTCGACTTTTTATGTGGTCAACTTGACTTTTTACATACTCAACTTTTGACCTTTTGTATGGCCAACTCAACTTTTTATATTTTATATGGTCAACTTGACTTTTACATGCTCAACTTTTGACTTTTTGTATGGTCAATTCGACTTTTTATATGGTCAAATTGACTTTTTACATGCTCAACTTTTGACTTTTTCTATGGTGAACTCGACTTTTTATATGGTCAACTTGATTTTGTAATCTCCACAATGCATTGCGTTAGGACTCTAACAAAATGACCGACAATAACGAAGAATTGCAGCACATCTCCTCGGCGTGTGCCATAGCTAAGCAGGCCCTTGAAGCCATCGACAATCTACAGAATAATGAAATTTGAAATGTGGCAGCGTTCACGGCTACCAACATTGCTTCAACTTCCTCTGTTTCATCATCAAGCCCTTCGATTGCAGCAGAGCTCGCACGTCGATTTCCAACTTGCAGCGCACGTGGGGTCACCGCAACTACAAAAAGAACTTCAGCGAGTGCTTTTATGAGTTAGTGATTGGGCGCAATGCATTATGGAACGATTCAAAAGATTACCACTTGACCATGTAAAAAGTCGAGTTGACCATGAAAAGAGTAAAACATTGATCATACAAAAAGTCTAGTTGACCACAGAAAAAGTCAAAAGTTGAGCACGTAAAAAGTCAAGTTGACCATATGAAAAGTCAAAGGTTGAGCATGTAAAAAGTCAAGTTGACCATATAAAAAGTCGAGTTAGCCATATAAAAAGTTGAGTTGACCATGTTAAAAGTAAACTGGTTCACTGAAGTACAGAGGGAATATTGACAGGGTTGGCACCCCATACAATGACCCATCTAGGGTTTTTTAACCACATTACTCAGGGGTTTCATCAAGGTTTGGAGCAAGGGGCATCTGGCTTTGGCAGATTCAATACAGGTGAAGACATACAAACAGGCCGTTGGGACTCAGTTGTGGTGACCACAATAATAAGGTTATGGGAGAAATTCTCCTGTAAATACCATATGAAATGTATAGAGAATAGTATGGAGAATATGCATACTGATGCAGTAAGGGAGTAAATGGTTATTTAATGAGCAAGACATTTGGCTCTTGCACTGCCTCTCTCAGTGATGTAGATGGATAAGAGAGAACTATTAGGAAAGCTATAAAAAAATAGAAATCTGAGAGTGATGTTATGAAATTCAATAAATTTTAGAGAATCTTTCATTCATTTATAGATTGCTAAAGAAACAGCTGACAAGTTCGCTAAAGGTGGTCTTCAAGAACATATTTCTTTGTGGAAAAGTATGATTGCCATGGCAATTAAAGCTATATCTGTCGCAGGAATGGGCTGTTCATTTATGGAAAAAAAGGAGGTTGACGAGTTAGCTGCAATGTATGATGTGGTAAGATTTTGTTTTTTCTTTTTGTGTAGTATGCTGTTGGACAGCATAGGTAGAAAAAAAAATATGAAACTGTATCAGTAGAACTTTGTGTTTCTTAGTGACTCAATGTAATTTTCGCTTACTCGATAAACTTGAAGCAAGGCAGATTGATGGAGTGAAATTAGGAAGAGGTCATAACTTTACTTACTGTACTTGAGGATAGTGAAAATTTATAGTTCCCTGTTAAAATTAAATCTGATCACATCACACTGCATCAAACACTCACTTACCCACCGCTCCTTCTCCATGCACTCCTTTTAGTCAGTATTTGGTATGTGCATGAAAAATTTTCCCCCCTATCAGTAATGCGAGGATGCCTTTTCAAATACCACTCACATGGTTGTACACACACCACAGACAATAATGATAATAATAATAACAATAATAATTTAGCAATGGACATTCCACTTGGTGGCTCTTCTTGTCCACTGTTTCGAGATTGAATTGGAATTTGGAATGTTGGTTTTTGCAGAGGGAGGAAAACCTGAGGACCTGGAGAAAAACCCTTGGAGCAAGGACAAGAACCAACAAAAAACTCAACTCACATGTGAAACCATGTCCGAGAATCTAAATTAGGCCACAGTGGTGGGAGGCGAGTGCTCTCACCGCTGCGCCATCCCTGCTCCCCACAGATGCATCAGTTTTTTTTTTTCTTCATAAGGCCAGCACGTCGGCCGACAGTTGGCTGATACATTGGCAGATGCATTGGTAGAATCGGATTATTTATCTTTACTGCTGTGTCTGCACTCAGATCCAGCCATTTGCACCACCAAGTTCACGGGCACCTCCCTTACACTCATCTGCTGTCAGCAAACCTAACACTTTGAATTCCACTTATAGTGGAAAAGGTCCCTTGAGGAACTTGAATACTTGAATTAATACATATTGTAAAGGTTTGAAGTTGTGATAAAGAGTTAATATTCTTCGTAGTGCTGGGATGAGATGGAAGAACGTCTCACATCACCTCCTCCTGGTCCAGATAGTGACAGAGAGAAAAAATTTCAAGAAGGTACAAACACAATATTACTGGTATCTGGTGTAATGTCAGCTGCATACATGTGTATGAATAATGTTTTGCTTTTAAA